TTATTTAACATTCACTTAAAAATAAAACAAAGGATGTTGCTTCTCATATCTAACCCCCTGAAGTAGCACATTTACTGTTATTTCTCCCAGGTGTCATTTATGGTGTTGATCAAAACTAAAACTTGGTCCTTGTTATACATTAAAACATTTTCTCCTGTGTTTGTGTTAATGTCCTTCCTTTCTGACTGAATGACATGTTACATACTGAGCATCTCATTGGCTACAGTCTGCAGCATCTTACCCTCAGTGACTGACAGGGAAACCCGTGTTCCCACAGCTGAACCTCCGCTGATCTCCACACCACACCAGTAGTAACCAGAGTCCCCAGCTGTCAGATTGTTCATGGTCACAGTGAAGAGTTGCTGGTCAGGATCATCTCTGATTGACACTTCACCACTTATCTTTGGAGAATTAGGGTGTACTTTGGGAGAACATGAACTCCAGTCACTCCCTCTGCACCAGTATTTCTCATGTTCTTCATATATGTTGGTATAGAAACATGGGATGGTGACAGATCCTCCACTCTGTACAGTCACAGTGTTCAGTGTGGACACACCTGCAGGGACAGTATGAAACTTACCAAGCTGATTAACTCTCATTCCCATTTACACCATTTTTACAAATATTAATAACAAATCAGTACCAGTCCACTGTAGGTTACTGTACTCTGCAGAATATTACATTTTGTTTTCAATAAATGTATTTATTGTCAACGTATTAACGAAAGTTAAATAGTGGAATAAATTAACTGATTATTTTGTGTAAGATTAGCTTGCAAAAACCTTTTTTGCCTGCTTACACATTTAAGTTTACATATTTAGGTCAAAAATCATTAACTGAGAACCAAACAGATGCTTTGTGTAGCAGCCCTGATCCCACACCTATATGGATGGAGGTGTCACCACATCTGCCTAGGTTCGAAGAGACGTGTGCTACAACTCAACTCAAGAAGGGAGCTGACGGGTTGAACAGTGGCCACTTTTTTTGCCTTGCATTTAACAGCAGTTTGTAACTTTGTGCATATGAAAAGGAAGAGCTCTTAGAAAAAATGATAAAAGAAATTAAAAGAAAATATCCCTCTCCTTGGTTCAGTCCTTTACTTAGGCAGGTGAGCCAATGTAGCCCCTGTCCCAGTCTGGGTATGTACTGGCTTACTGTACAGGAGGTAATTGCAAATAGACACATGTTATTTAGTAGCGTAACCAGTGGATATAAAGCCCCCAAGAAAGCTGATACATGGACAGATATCACCTTCTCTGAACGCTGTGTGCCAAATAAATCTAAATGATCTTCAAACGCGTTCCCTTCTCAGAGCACAATTGGCAAGCTCTTCAAGAAGCAACAGAAATGCCATTTTGATAGCAAGGCCAACGCGCAGAAACAGACCTATTTATAATCCGCATGATCGCCGTTACTACCATGAAAATAATTTTTACACTTAAAAATTATTTTTTATATTTTACTTTTATAAGTTATTCAAATACTATCATTTTGTGAACTGTAGAATGAACAAGACTGCCATAACCGATTATTTTGAACAAACTATCATTACTCAAATGTGCGTACGAATGGTCTTTAGTGTGCATAGATTCTGTTCTTAGCTAAGAACAAATTCAGATAAGAAAACATTGGTGAATGTCAGAATCTTCGTAAAAAAAAGTGCGTACGTGAGGTTTAAGAACAAATTTGTTCGTAAGAATGGTTGGTGAATGAGGCCCATTGTTATTTCTGTAAATTGTATATTATCAAAACATTTATCAGTAATACAGTTAAGATGGAAAAAATATGAATAGGTTGCACTGATTTAGGTGGTGCGCCTAAATTTTGTGCTGGTGCTACTAAAATTTTCAGTAAGGAGCCCCAGTTCTACTAGTGGAAAATGTCTGGATCCCTGCAGAAGATGTTCCATTAGAACTGGACCCATCAAGCAGAGGGTCAACAGCACAGTTCAGATCAGTAAAGAACATTTAACCCCCAAAACCTAGATCTTCCCCAGCTGAGGTAGATCGCAGGCATTACAAAATTAAAAACTTCCAAAGCATTCCTCATACCACTAAAACTTTTACTGAATCAAATCGAGTTGAGGATAACTCCCTTCTTTGAAATTCATTTGCTCATATGTTTCATATCATTTCCACCTTTAGGGTATATACTCACTGCTGCTCAACCTCAAAGTCCCCAATGATGATTTAAAATATTGAAATAGCATATTTTCTAAAGTATTTTCTCCTGTGTTTGCATTAATGTCCTTCCTTTCTACCTATATGACATACTGTGCATCTCATAGGCTACTGTCTGCAATACAGACATCTTACCATAAATGACTGACAGGTAAACCTGTCTTCCCGTCATTCCTCCTCTGCTGATCTCCACACCACACCAGTAATCACCAGAATCCACAGTTTTCACATTATTGATGGTCACAGTGAAGACTCGCTGGTCAGGATCATCTCTGATTGACACTTCACCACTTATCTTTGGAGAGTCAGTGCGTACTATAGGAGTACATGAACTCATGCGACTTCCTCTGCACCAGTATTTCACATCTGTTTTATAACTGTCTTCATAGAAATATGGGATGGTGACAGATCCTCCTCTCTGTACAGTCAGTGGGTTCACTTCGAACACTCCTGCAAGGACAGTATGAAAATTACCAAGCAGATTAATTCTCATTCCCTCTTGCACCATTTATACACATTAATAAAACGTCAGTACCAGTCAGCTGTAGGTTATAGTACTTCATTAAATATATAAAAATTTTGTGGCACGGACACCAGACATGGTGATTGCAGCAATAATAAAGAGTCACAAATGGTTGCTGATTTATTGAATTGAATGATCATTGTTGACACACCACAGCACACAGTGCACAACAACAAAATGTGTCTGCGGCATTTAACCCATATGTGACATTGTGACATAGCAGGGGGCAGCTAATTCAGTGCCCGGGGAGCAGTGCTTGGGGGCAGCACCTTGCTCAGGGTACCTCAGTGGTGCCTTTTTGGTTGGGGATTCGAACCAGCAATCTTCCAATTACAAGTGCACTTCCTTAACCATTAAACCACCACTGCCCACAAACACAACTCTACTTGGACAGAGCCTCCAAAAATACTGTGAAGTCATCACTATCCCTCTCCATGGAAATCTTTAGTAAAAGGCGAAAGATTTATATGGGATGAAGAGAGACCCAAGTCGATATGTCATACTCACAGCACACAGACACTGCCCAACGTGCTGAGCGTCACATCTACTCTCACTACACATGGTAGGCACACACAATGATATTTACAACAATTAACATTAACGCTACACATGACATTAACATACGGTACAATAACAACACAGTACATGATCAACACACAGAGCTATTTACATTATTCACACTATTTACACTGCTGGCACCGGT